ATCCACCAGATACCTGCCAGACCTGACCTCTTACACTTTTCTTTCCCCCCACTTCCTCTCCTTTTCTGCCCTTGTCTTCTTAATTTCCAGCTATTTACTTTTTCATAGTCATCCTCTTTTCTACCTTGAATTACTACTACTGTAGAGCAGGGGTTTTCAACCTTTTTTGGTTGGGGCACCCCGGCGGCTGGTTGATAAGGGGTGGGGGGAGCAGTGAAATTGGAACTGCTGCTGGCTTCTCCACGCCACTTCCACATACCCCCTGGGGCCTTCCAAAGTACCCCCAGGGGTACACGTACCCCCAGCTGAAAACCCCTGCTGTAGAATCACCCTTACTCACCTTTGAGTCCCCCCCCCTGCCTTTTTCCTTCTTCCCTTCCCTGCTCTACCTTTTGTTTTCCTGATTTCCACCTATTTACATTCTCCCTGACATCCTGTCACACTTAGCTTCTTTCATCCCTTGGAGTCTCAGAAGAGCAGAGACTGCCTATGTCTGAAGGAGGGTGATTCTGCCCAAAAGGTTGCAAAGAACTTTTTTCCAGCTACTCAGTCGGTCTAATAAAAGATACCACATCTACCCAAAGGACCTTGCCTTCACTGTATTGAACCATTTCTTTATGACCTGGCAGCCTGTTCTTTCCTCCAAAACTGAATTGATGTTAAAACACATGCTTTCCAAGAAACCTAGCTCATTTTCATCACCTGCTTCTTCATAAAGGAGACTTCTGGCTCTTTACTTAAGGCTTATGATGTGTGGAGTTGTGTTTGCTGTCCCCTTCTGGGCACATGGAGCTGGGAAGGATTTTTTTCACTCCTCTTGCTACAGAGGTTGGGGTTTTGTTTTTACCTGCCTCAGAGGCTTTGAGTGTTGGTAGCAGCTAAGCCTGGGGATTTTAACTGGGGTGTCCTCCTTCTGAGACTTAAAAAAGAAAAAAGACATCCAGAAGTTCCTGGCTCCTCTGCTCATAGGACCAAGGAGAAGGTCAGAGAGGAATGGGCTATGAGGGGCCACTGGAAAGGGAGGCGTGAGCCTCTTCCTTGGATCTCTTGAGTGTATTTTGACATGCTACTTCTGTCTTTGCAGTGGCAGAACATGGACAGTGTCCTCAGCCCCCTGCTTTATTCACGGCAGGGTAGAGTGTACTTGGTGCCTTGGGGCAATGGGAAAACCTGTCTGTAGAAAGCTGAGCAGTACTGTAGAGTTCTGATCTTTTCTCTGTTTAAAAATTGCAAATTATCTGATTTAAAAATCTAACACACGTGTTTTCCTGCAATTAAAATAAAGCACCCCTATATATATCGGTATCAGTTGAACACGATATTTTATGATATACGTACAATTGTAAAGCTATTTGGAAGCCTGTCAGTACCTCAATCATTATAATACAATACGTTCTAAATACCTATATATTTTGGCATTTCATTATGGTTTTTTTGTCCTGGAAAATTAGAGCTCCCCCTGCCCTCTTCCATCTCCAGGATGAGCTGCGGCTGCACCCCCCACTGCTGTTTTGTGGTGCTGAGCTGCCTTGATATTCTGGTGCCCTACCCCTGCCCACTGCATTGCCCCTCAGTCCCAAGCCACAGCCCCCCCAACCCCGCTGGTGCCCTTCACTCGTGACTCGCTGCCCCCCACCCCCAGCCTCCCAGTATAAAGAAGGGGGTAGGTGTGTGGGGAATAGGGGGGGTGTGTGGGAAAGGAGGGGTGTGGGCACAAATAAAGTGTGGGGGGCAGGGTGGAACAGGTGACTGGTGGGGGGAATATGTGCTCCCCCAAGATTTATGCTCCCACAGCAAGGCACAGGGCGAAGGACAAGGAGCAGGGACTGGACCAGCTCCAGGCAGGAGCTGCCTCCACGGCCTAGCAGGCAGGACCCAGCACAGGAGGAAATGCTGCGCTGCCATGGCCGCCAAGGCAAGTGTGGCGGTGGCACGGAGTTGTGCCCCCCACTGCTGTCAGGAGGGCAGGGGACACCTCACTTTAGTGACCGTGGTGGCATGGCACTCCCTCCTGTGCCAGGTCCTGCCCACTGGGCCACGGATGTGGCTCCTGCCCACAGCTGGTCTGGCCTGGCTGTAGCCCTGCGCCCCGCTGTAGGCAGAGAAATCTGGGTGGGCACATGCCCCCCCCCATACATAACCTATCCTCCTCCACCCCACCCCCAGGTGTCATCTGTGCTGCCCCGGTTCCCCGCCTGTGCCCCTCACCTGTGCCTGCCCCCCCACTGCCTTGTCCCCGTAGACGTACGTGGAGGGAGCTGCTGGAGCTGGTCTCTACCACACTGCCTGACTGCCACTTGTATGTGTGAGTGCACACATGCGCATGGCGCCCCCTGCTGCCTCCAGCCCCAAGCACCCCTTGCAGGCTGGAACTCCACCAGCCTGCAAGGGGAGACCCACTAGTTCCTGTTTTTTTCTGCTTTACAGGAGAGAATTTGGGATTTTCTCCTATAAAGGAGAACATCTGTGTTTTTCCACAGCCAATGGAAAACTTGGATCCCTGGTAATAAGATCAGTTGCTTATTTCTATCAGGGAAACAGAACAAGGCAAAATCAAAGCAAAGAGATGGCACAAGATCTCACTAAAGCCTTTAGAGACAAGGGGTGAAATTCTAACCAAAATACCTCCCTCCTTTTGGTTGAATTGTTAATAGAAAAAATGGGATTGATACCATGAATTTTTAAATTTTTTTAGCCTATAGATTGTACCTATTTAGCAATATCCTATTTTATGTTGCTAAGAATCAAGTGACACAGTGTAAAAGAGTCTCATTAACACTTTAACTTCCTGGGCTGATAACTTTCTACCTCATTTAATACAACACCCCTCTACTTCTACATCTCTATATCTACAGAAATGAACTCCACTGACACCCAGAAAACTAGGCTATCCAACACAAAGCATTTGTTATGTGTACAGATTCCTCAAAGACTTTCTGTTATGTATTTTTTCTTACATTCCCAAATTTTCTTAACTAGCTGGCTCCCATTCCCAAAGAGACATATAAAATACTGTTGCAAGACCCTTAGGTACCACAGTGATGAGCACAGTACAAGAGCCTGTAGAGAAGATAAAAACAGAATGAAACCCATTCATGAGTATCAAACAATTCAAAAGAAATGACTTTGGCAGAGTCATCCAGGCGTGGGGTGGAAGAAGCTGTTCTCACAAGCATCTCAAGGCAATGTGTGTAGAAGTTATCCATGTAGCTTTCCCCACACACCAGTGTAAGGCAGAACCCTCAGAATAATTAACTAATCTCCCTTTGTTAAAATCTCATTCAGGGTGCATAACACTGCTCTCCTAACCATAAAAATAGCCTTTCCCACGGCAGAAGCTGGGGAATATCAGCAAGAAATGATCACAGCTTCAGTCTGTAAATTACACAAGGGAAAAATTGATGATCTTACATTAACAATTGATGTTCTTAATAGAATGCCATTAAGGGGATGTGAATGGGAAATTGATTCAGACATATAGGATAGTTTGCTTATTGAAAGCCAGTTCAGGAGTTATGTTAAAGGAGGTTATATTATTAGGTCACATGGCTTAGCATTTGGATCACATTAGATTCTGCAAAACTTACAAAAGCATTTATATTTTAACTAAGAGAAGCCAAATTATCTCTCCTTAATATCTGTTCCAATACCATACTGAAGGGCATGATAAAAGAGACCAAGAGGTCTGAGCAGTTTAATGATAAGGATGTGTGGGGCAGGGTGTGCAACATTGTGTGCAAGAAAATCCCCATATTTCATGTATTTTGGAAACACCAAGGGTATATTCACAGAACTGGAAGTCTATATAACCAAGAGTCCTGTAGAGGTGCATGACAGAAGCAGGTTAGGAAGGGGGATTAGGTAATCATAATCACTAACCTTTCTGCATCGATGACTCATCTCTAAGTTTAATATTGACCCACCTTTTGTAAAGTGTTTTAGAAAGTTTCCTTATTGACTTTGTGTGATCATCTTATACCATGGTAAAGGAACATGAATTTCAGATAGCACTGAACACCCACAAGCTGGGAATGACCTCTCTTAAAGTGTGCAAGTTTGGGCATCCAAAAAGTAGGCCCTTAAACTTATAGTGGATCCAAAGGGAAGCCTAGTTGCATGATAAATCTTTGCACACCTGGTCCCGGGGGATGAAGCAAGTTGACTTCACTATATCCACAGTGAGGTGACAAGGTTATCTCATGATCCAGAATCAAAATATTTCATCAACAGATTTAGACCAAATGCAGCTAAGCTAGCGCAGGCAGCTCCAAGTGTTAGTCTGACAGGTTTGCCCTCACCTCTTCACTTCAGTGAGGCATTGACTCTGATGCCAAAAAATACTCCTTGGCTCACTAGTAAATGGGTAGAAGTGATGCTCACTGCAACGATCCTCACCATCTCCTGAGAGTTCAGCCCTATTTGTCACGTTGGAGTGACAGTCGGGAAGTAATTCCTTTGCCTCTTGTGGTTGCACATTTGTCAGGCTGCTCTGCACTCCCCACCTGCATGCCAGACACTCCTGATTTTGCCTTTGCTCCCTTGCATGCAGGAAATAAGGCACATAGGAAGTGCGCACAACCGGAGTGCTATGCCATTCACTACTGCCACAGCTTCAGGCACTGCACCCAAAGTGATCACTGCTCAGTACAACAACCCAGCACGCCTGTACTCCTCAGAAAACATCCAGACCTTCAACAATGCTGTGGAGTCTAAGTCAGCCGGGGGTGTACAGGACCCCAGTAAAACGTAAGTCTTTCTCCACTTTTCTATCCTTGTCCCCGAACTCGACAGAACGTATGTTGTTGTGAAGCCAGCTTTGGCGCAAGGATATCAGTTCTTTAACCTGGAGTGAAAATCCCAAGCCTCTCTTTTTCAGGAATGTGGAAGGAGCTCAGGCATGAGACTGGATGCAGGCCATGGGGAAGTGGCTCCCTGTGGTGGGAAATTGCCTCCAAGATGCAGAAGAGAATTTAACAATGTTGTGTTTCTTTGTTCACCAGAGACCGAAGCAGTTTCAGCGTGCATTCAGCATGACATGCCAACCCTTAAAATCGCCCTCTGGCCCAAACAGGTGCCTGACACTTTATCATCAGCACTTTGTAAAGTTAGTGAGCTATTCTGGCTTTGCAAGCACACAGGATGGTTTAGTAGATGGGAAAGAGTTCCTTGATGGGATGGGTTTCCTTTCCCAGGGGAGCTTTGAAATCTGACAGGGAAACAGAGCTTGCTGTCCCTTCTGTTAGGCTGTACCCTCTGGGTGTGTCTACACTGCAAACACAGGTGGGGTTGCAGCACAGGTAATCTCCCTAGCAGTGGAAAGGCAGCAACACTGACTTCAGTGCAGGCTGTGGAAGCCTGCAGTGGGCCCTGGGTATGTACTTGGGTTGCTACCCCACCCTGAAGTCCTGCCACCATGTCTTTCTGCTGCTATTATCCATGCTAGGTAGGTTAGAGCCAGCCTCGGAGTACCTATAGGCACTGCAGTAACACCTTTACTGGCTATGGAGACAAAGAGGTGGACTGAAACAGCAGTATCAGCCAGAAGTCTGAACCTAGAGAGGATCTCTGTTATGGCATGCTCTTCTAGTGAAAGGAACACCTAAGCAGATTTAATGTGCTCATTTCTGTATTGCTTGGGAACTGAATGTAGACTTTCATTAATGTCTTCCTTCCTCTCTTTCTTTCTTCTCTGTATTTGTCTCTCAACTCTCCAAATTAAAAAAACTAACCAACTAAAAACCCTGGTAACCACCTCCTGTCTGTAGCCATTCATCACCTACAGTCGCGCTGAAGGCTCCCTTCGCATCAGTCTATAACCCTCTACAGCCGCAGGCCTCTGCATCTCCATTGCAGCGGAGGCACAGCACCTCCTCCATCCCAAGCCAAGTCCGAGTGGGGCCTGAACGGCTGAAGCAAGCCGCCCAAATCTGCCCCAACAGCCCTGTGGAAGTGGAGGTGCCAGGACTCAAAGTGCTGCATGTGCAGTTTAATTCTCCCCTGCAGCTCTATTCACAGGAAAACATCCTGGATACTTTACAAGGGCAGATCTCTTCCATTAGCCCGACTTTTCTCAGGTAATATTTGCCTGCTGCCCATGTGGCAGCTGACTAGACACGCGTGCCACCCTCCACATCTTGGTCTTCACAAATGATTCATACTTGTCCATTGCTCATGGTGTGGGCCTGTCACGCAGACTATGAAGCGTTACATTTCACCTTTGAAACTTAGTGCATGACTCTTCACAGAAGGGCCCTTGCCTTCGTGTGCCTTATACCACATGAAGCACCAGTGTGTGCCAGATCAGTTTGCCACTGTCACCTCTTGTTTTACACACACAACCATAGTGGTGAAATCAACAGAAATGGTTGGTGGACTTGGCAGAGTGATTGTTTTGCATGTGCTGGTTCAGCGGTGGGGGGGGCGAGGTGGAACATGTGCCTCCAGGAAGTGGTATTTCTTCTGGATTTACCCAACCACAAGGATAAGTGTAGAACCTTTCACCCCTTCTCCCAAGTTTGCCAGTGGCTGGAAATCTCTGCTGTCTGTCAGCTGGGAAGTGGCTTAGGTGAAATAAATCATGAACCATGGGCCAGGTTGTTTATGTGTGTCAAAGGAAGTTGAGGCCACTTATTAAGATGAGTTGATCTGACCTCTGGCAACAACAGCTTGCTCCTCCCCAGAGCTAGCCTCTTAGTCAGGTATTACCCTGTTCTGGAGCAGTATGCTCTAGTGTATAGAGTTTTGACTCCTGGCTCAGTTTCCCCATCTGTAAGAGGAATGGAGAAAGATGATTATCACCTTTGGTCAGCGTTTGGGGGCCTAGAAATGAAAGCCCATTTAAATATCATATTAGCTTACAGCAACCTGTAAGCATCCTGGGAAATTCCTAATGCTGGCCCTAGCACTGTATCTCAGGGTCTTGCTTCTGAGTTACCCTAAATCTTTGTGGCCACCATGTGTCAAAGACCAAGCCATCCTGTTGTTGGGCATGCACAGCTTTGGAATTGTGGTGCTGGGACCTAGGTCTGACCGTCTCAGACACCCTTGTAGAACAGTTGAGAAGCCAGATCCTTTCAAATGAGTTGGACATCTGAAATGGTTTTACCTCTTCATTGTTGGAACAAAATAGTTTGCCTCTATTTCAGTGTGCAGTACATTGAACAGGCCACTGTGTCCAGGCTCATTCCCTTCTATTGGATGAACTAGAACTGCATGACCACACCTCATGCGTCTTATTCTGCTGACCATCATGTCTGGTCAACTGGCAAGGGCCTTTTCCTTCTGGAACAGAAGAGTTCTTGCCCCACAGTCACTGTAAAGATCCATGCACCCAGATGCTGTGGTAGAACAACAGCTGCAAAAGTGTGGGCAGCCCTAGATTTATTACAGTAGAATTGGGGGCATAAATTGCTCATGGTAGGTCACTTTTCTGGCTTGTTTTGAGTAATTCTGGAACACTAATACATCATTAGTTCTCTTGGCAATTCCAGACCACCGGATAATGTAACAAAAACTCTAAGTGGTGTCAACTAACTTGGTAGCAGAAATTTAGTGTCAGTTGTATTAAGCAGTGTCTCTAGGACCTTAGTTACCTTTCCAAATTGTGTCACAGTATGATAATCGTATCCAGTGTTAATCAAAACTAAGTTGAGCTTATCAAAATGCACTTTGTGGCACTGCAGGTATGTCTACGCATGTGCATTTAGTGCTCAGTAACTGAAATTACTGCACAGTATGGGTGTGCATCTACACATGCACACCTGTACTGCGCAGTAAATATGGTGACTTACGCTGACTTGAGTGTAAATTTGATATCTGCATTATGGAGGTGTCAAATTTATACCCGTTTAGTTACTGCGTAGTAACACATGTGTAGATGTCTTACTACACAGTAACACTGCATGTGTGGACTGACCTGGGACTAAAGTTACACACAGCATAAATGCGCTTTAATGCCTGCTTGTGTAGACGCTGGCCCATTCCCACTAAATTCAAGCCGGTGTAAATGTACGTGTAGACATGACCTGTATCTTGTAGGCTTTTATTACTCTGTCTGGCTGCTTTCTTGCTGATTTTCAAAGTTTATTGTTTCAGCTAGTTGCTATCATGAACTAATAAGGTTCTGCTGTCCTCTTTTTGGAACTATGAAATCCCCACAAAAGGAAGTTGGAGTAGTCTTTTATGAAACTGCTGTCTCTGTGGGCTCTTATTCCTCATATAAGTCAAGAAATATCTACCTGTCATTTTGTCTCACAATCAGTGTGTACCTTCTTCTGAGAACACACATGAAATTATTTTTGTTCTGTTGTTAATGTCTCATTTTCTTTAACCCCCCCAACACCCCCTGCAAACAAGTAAGTATCACTGCTTATCACTGAGGGTCTGATTTGTACAGTTTTGTGCATTGGCACAATGCATGGTTAAAATGCTCTGTGTTTGTTTTGACTCAAATGTTCCTGAAGACAATATTGTGTTGGCTTTTTCTGTTCACATGTCTAAATCACCTTAGCCCTCCAGAGGGGCATCAGCCCAGTATTTTGAAAGGTGGGACAGGCAGTGGGAGATCTTCAGGTTGCAATTTACATGATTTAAATAGAATGGGGGCATGGGATAATCTGGGGAATTTTCTGTATAACAGATATCTTGTCCTGAATATGAATTCCAGGTAAATGTGACACATTTGAAAAGTTCATGTATATGTGTGTACATGTGGGTGTCTACTGAACGTTGTACCATGGATTCACCCCATAATATTATACCAGGATAGACCTGTTTTATGAGACTCTTGTATGTTAATGTGGATTATAACGTTTGCAATCAGTTTACCTCTAGTGCTTGTAGTATTTCAGATGCCAACTAACCGGGTTAGAGAGCTTCTGGAGGGGCTGGACGCATTCAAGTCAGCGGGTCCGGATGATCTCCACCCCAGGGTGTTGAGGGAGCTAGCTGGGGTTATTGCGGGGCCCCTGGCACGGCTCTATGAGCGATCATGGTGCTTGGGCCAGGTGCCAGATGATTGGAAGGTAGCAAATGTGGTCCCCATCTTCAAGAAGGGGAAGAGGGAGGACCCGGGTAACTATAGGCCCGTCAGTCTTACCTCAATCCTGGGGAAACTCTTTGAGAAGATCATCAAGGAGCACATTTGTGAGGGGCCGGCATCAGAAATGATGCTCAGGGGCAATCAGCATGGATTTATTAGGGGGAGATCATGTCAGACCAACCTGATTGCCTTCTACGATCAGGTCACAAAGGCCATGGATGCAGGTGTCGCGGTGGATGTAGTCTTTCTGGACTTCAGCAAGGCCTTTGACACCGTCTCTCACCCCATCCTAGTTAAAAAACTAGGTGACTGTGGCATCGATGCCTACACAGTCAGATGGATTGCAGATTGGCTGAGGGGTCGCACTCAGAGGGTGGTGGTGGATGGGTCATATTCGACCTGGGGGGAGGTGGGTAGCGGAGTCCCCCAGGGCTCGGTCCTGGGGCCTGCGCTGTTCAATTTCTTCATCAGCGATCTGGATGATGGGGTGGAAAGTAACCTGTTTAAATTCGCTGATGACACCAAAATCTGGGGGGAGGTGAGCACGCTAGCAGGGAGGGAGAGATTGCAGAGGGATCTGGATAGGTTACAGGGGTGGGCTAACAGGAACAGGATGCGTTTTAACACGGACAAGTGCAGGGTGCTGCACTTGGGCAGTAGGAACCAGCAGCACACTTACACAATGGGGAACTCCTTACTCGAGAGCACGGAGGCAGAAAGGGATCTTGGAGTCATTATTGACTCCAAGATGAACATGGGCCGACAATGCGAGGTCATGGTTGGCAAGGCTAACCGGACCTTGTCGTGCATCCACAGGTGCATCTCGAGTAGAGCCAAGGAGGTGATCCTCCCCCTCTATGCGACGCTGGTCAGGCCACAGCTGGAGTATTGTGTCCAGTTCTGTGCGCCCCATTTCAAGAGGGATGTGGACAATATGGAGAGGGTCCAGAGGAGGGCCACCCGCATGATCCAGGGACAACAGGGCAGACCCTACAGTGAGAGACTGCGGGACCTGAACCTATTCAGCCTCCACAAGAGAAGGCTAAGGGGGGACCTGGTGACTGTCTATAGACTCACTAGGGGGGACCAGAGGGGTTTGGGGGAGACGCTGTTTCCCCTAGCGCCCGCTGGCATAACAAGGAGAAATGGGCACAAGCTGTTGGAGAGGAGGTATAGATTGAACATCCGCAAAAACTACTTCACCGTTAGGGCGGCTAGGAGCTGGAACCAACTTCCAAGGGAAGTGGTGCTGGCCCCTACCCTGGGGGTCTTTAAGAAGAGGCTGGATGCCCACCTAGCTGGACTCGTTTGAGTCCCATTTCTCTTTTTGGGGTTTTTGTTGTTCTCCCGCCCTGGTGGGGGGTCGGGCTAGAAGATCTACTAGGTCCCTTCCGACCCTTAATCTATGAATCTATGAATCTATGAAACCCCTGGATGGCTTGGATACACATTGGCATGGAAATACACTCATTGTCATGAAAAAGATTTTCCTCTGCAAATTAGTCTGAAGTTCAGAATGTTTATAAGCAATGCAGGCAATTCCTGAATGCAAGAACGATGCTTTTTCCTGACCAACCATTTAAATTTAATTATACTTTATGTGACCTAGCATTCACAGAGGCTCTTTGTCAAATGTCCCATTCTTTTCAGCTTTGATCTTGGGTAATGTTTCCAATTGCATTTTTAAGATGCTTTATTTGGCATAAATGCCTTTTATATTTGAGCTCCAGTGTGGTTTCTATTAAAGCAGAGTGTGCTGAGTAGAGTGTGCTTCTCAATAAGAAGGTAATAAAACACTGGAACAGGTTACCCAGAGAGATTGTGGAATCTCCATCCTTGGACTGTTTCAAAGACCCAGCTAGACAAAGCTTTGGTTGGGATGATCTAGTTGGGAGTGGTCCTGCTGTGAGCAGGTTGTTGGACTAGATGACCTCCTGATATCCTTCCAACCCTACTTTTGTATGATTCTATGAGTATTTGCAGTACACAAATGAGAACAGAAATGTGAAGGGAGTCGGTGGGGTTGAGTAGATAAATCCAGAGCATA